TTGCAGGCTGGGAGGAGGAGGGAGGAAGGGCTCACCTCAGCATTTCTCCCACCCTGCATCAGATGCCTGTAATCTTCTGAATTTGGAGGCTTATGGATATTACCATTGGTTTCTTTACTTAGTCTCTCTCTCTCTCTCCCTCTCATGTTTTTACTTTACAGTAAGTTCAGAGCCCCAAATCTGGGCTGGGCCCAGGGCCTGCTCCAGAGAGGAAATACAAAACAGATCTAGCAGCTAGTCACAGACTTAGAGATATATCCATTTTGGTCCCAAGACACCCAGTGCACATGGAGTGCATTGGTAATAAAGTATTTCCTGATCTATTCAACAGATTTATGAATCAAAGCCATCAAAAGAGGATGAAGCCAATCTCATATTTCCAATGTTCCCCTGTTGCCTGATCTCTCCCAAAGCCTGCTAAACCCAAAATCCATGTTGTTCGTGATAGGGCTCTGAACTTCAGTTGTCAACAGATGGAGCAGCTGGGTGTTTTTCCTGTGCGTGTATTTCTCAGAAATGGTTAAGTTGTGTTTTTCAGCCTTTTTCAGCAGCTGAAGCCCATGTCGTTCTTTTTGAGGATCTCTGCTCTAGCAGAGAGATTTATCTGCAGTAAAGTTTTGCATTATGAAAGAGCCCTCTAAACTCAGCTTCTTTTCTTTTATCTGTGGTACTTTTCTGGACCAGAGCAGTATGTTCTTAATGAGCCCAGCACTTCCTTCATAATTTTAAAGGTGCAGAGGGCTTTCTAATTAACTTGACAAATTGCAGCAATTCCATCAGCCACAAGGAGGCTAAAAAGCTTTATAGGCAGAGACTAATATGACATCCATTCCCTTGAGGGAGCTGCCAAGCATATTTCTTATTGTTTGCACCAGTATAGCCCCTGACTAGCTCTCTAAGTCTGTAACTAAAGACCACAGAACTGTGGAAAACTCTATTGCTGTCTCTGTGTTAGTACTCAACTTTGACCAAGTATACTTGGTCATGTGTGTTTTTAGCAGAATGACAGATTCATTATTTCATCTATCCTCTTAAAACTCTTTACTGATGTTGTTGAGCAGAGGATTAAAAACACAAGAAGCATGTTATCTATCTAGTCATCTGCCATTAGACCCTGTCCAGCTTGCCATGAATCTTTCACTTAATGCAGAGGATTCTAGAACAGATACAGGCAAGCTGATGTCCTCCAGATGGTTTGGACTACAATCCCAATAAGCCCTAGCCAACATGGCTAATGGCCAGGGATTCTGAAAGTGGTGTACCAAAGCTAGTCTAAAGCAACAGACTTTCCTGTGAGTGTTTTAGGACAGTCATTTCATTTTCTTTCTTTTAAAAATAAAGGTAAAGGTAAAGGTTTCCCCTTGACGTTAAGTCCAGTCATGCCTGACTCTAGTGGGCGGTGCTCATCTCGGTTTCCTAGCCGAGGGAGCCAGCATTTGTCCACAGACAGTCTCCGTGGTCATGTGGCTGGCATGACTAAACACCAAAGTGCACAGAATGCTGTTACCTTCCCACTGAAGTGGTACCTTTTTATCTACTTGCATTTGCATGCTTTCGAACTGCAAGGTTGGCAGGAGCTGGGACAAAGCAACAGGAGCTCACCCCGTTGTGCAGATTCAAACCGGCGACCTTTCGATCAACCAGCCCAGCAGCACAGCAGTTTAAACCACTGCGCCACCTGCAGTCCTTTTAAAAATAAAAACAACCCTTAAAAAACTTTAAGGAACATTTTTGATGTGGATGTGTCTGCTCAAGTAATTACCAAGTCTGCCACACTACCTCAGAGTAGGTTCATGCAGGGATCAGGCCTATGAAGCCCCACTCATCGCCCCGGGCAGTTACACCTTGTTGGAGAAGAATAGTAGTTATGAAATAGAGCTCTATTTCGGGGATGTTTCTCCATCATTACTCATTTCCACATCAACACTGCCTGATAAACTTTCAAAAAACTCCTCCTGTTTCCCAGAAGCCACTGTCCTAATTTGCAGTCTCAGGACAGAACTAGGGGTTCACTGGTGAATAGGCATCCCCATTGTATGGATGCTGGCTGAGCTTCCTGACATGCAACAAAGAGCACAAAAACTGTATGCTCAACACTTCTCCCTGCTTCAGTGTTTCTTCTTCCTACCTAGCTTCTTCTTTTTCTCAACTGTTGTTATTGTTGTATCTTCACTGCTTCTTCCTTTTCCCAACTGTTCAGCATACTAAGTAAAAGAAATGTAGCAGGGTGTGAATTCAGAAGGGATAACAGGCATCAGAGGGGTTAGGCATAGTTCTGCTACAGATTGGCCTGCCATTGCCATTTGTAATGTTTCCATGGTATCATTCAGGCAATGGGAAGGGGCTGGGAGGAACACGCGTGACTATCCCTGCCCTTTGACAACAATAATGTGCATGCCCCAGCGTATATGGCTGAGTCAAAGGGAGCCCCTTCAAGGCATGTAGGAGGTTTCCTCCATAGAATGGGAACCTTACCCCCTAATTCCAGCTTCACGTATTGCTGCCGGCCTCTTCATCCATCCACAATCCACGCATACTGCTACCCACGGAAAGTGCCATCAGAGGTTCGAAGATATATGTCAGCTTCTGAGCATTCAGTTCTGGTCAGAGTTGAGGCTGGAGATATCACCTTGTTAGCACCGAGAGGGTGCCTTGTGGCTACTTGGGATATGCCTGCCATGGCCACCCTTCTTACCACAGAACCCTAGCATGCCACAGAAACTAGCATGTTTGACTACTACTGCTATAGCATAGGTATGAGGAACAAAGGGCACAGAGGTTTATTCGTGGACAGACTCTGGAGGTGGGCAAGGAGACCAAACTTAGAAAACAAGTGTAGTAGATGAAATTGTAAAATGAATCATACATGATATTAAGGTGCCAACTTCATTATTTAGGGGAGAGGGAGGGAATGTGGGGGGGGGAGAGAGAGAGAGAGAGAGAGAGAGAGAGAGAGAGAGAGAGAGAGAGAGATCCTACCATTCTCAATATTCCCAATGTATGTGAATGAGAGAGAGAGAGAGAGAATCGTACTGGATATATAGCAATTGTGGTTAGCATTCTATGAATCCAAAGGAATATTAAATATGAAAAGCGATAGTATAAATGGAAGGAATAACTGGTAGATCTTGTGACTAGATCTTGAGATCATTATTATACTTGGCATATTAAATTACAGTAGAAATATTTTCCAATGAGCATCTACTTCTATTTATGCACAGATAGCTAGATGATAGAGAGAAGGAAAGACTGATGTGTTTATTATGGTGGCCATAGGTTTGAATGCTTTGATGAGCCTTTCCCATAGGATGTTCCCTCTGGAGGAACAGGTAAAGTGATCTCTGATTTCTCCTTCTCCCTGCAGCTCCCAGTATCTCCTGAAATTTGTTGAGGAGAATTAGGAAACCCCATGAGACAGCCTGGGAGGTGGTAGAAGAGGCTGTGGGAGAAAAGGAGACTCTACAACAATCACCTCACTGATCTCCTAGAACAGTGGAAGCCTTCACTGGACCACAGATGCTTCCATGAACAGAAAGAGCTAATAAGGATCCAACCCATTTAGATTTGACCCATTTTATCTTTATGCTGCCTTGTTCCTCTGGCTGGGAATCTACATGTGTTATTGCTGCTGAAGAACAATACCATACATAAAAATATGAAAGAGGAATATTCTCTATTCTGTAAGAATATTCCATAAATATCACAGAGAAGACAGCTACTAACAAATGCAGAATCTCTGATACTGCAATAGAAGAAAAAAACCTTTCCTTCTTAGTAGACCTGATGACAGGACAGTACAAAAGAGGCATCTCAGGGCAAAAGAGGTCAGCCTATAGATGCCAGGCACCCAGGGCTCCCTTCAAAGCACACACAGTGTCTCTGCGCTGAGCTCAGTATACTTAATAACGTGGTGCCATTGTCAGCTATACATGTCTGAAATGAAATTTATTCTGTGGGAAGGCATAGCATCAAGTGCCAAGCAATGGCTGCAAAGAATCGCTACTTTTTACTCTGAAATTAATGTTACAATTAGCTTTAGAAAAATGTCACCGATCAAGTACTACTGGCAACCCCTGTGCCCATAACAAGTGCAGTTAATGCAGGGCTTAACATGGTTAATGGCTACCTACCTGATGATTCTCCCCACTTTGTAAGCAAATTATTGCTTCCCTTTAAGATGGGTTTTAAAATTGGCAGACCAACTCTGGCCTCTAAAATTAGAAACACAGTTTTTGCTATTGTGTAAAACTTCTCTATTCAATAAAAGAGAAGATATGCAAATTGACATAAATTAGCCAATTTCTTTGAAAAATCATTTAGACTCTAGACAAAGGTTTGAAGTCACTTGAGAAGACAAAAGTTAAAAGTGACCTTTTAATGTGTTATGCCTTTGTAGGGAAAAGAGCGCAGCCATGAAACAAATTATTGTTAAAAATGACAAGCACTTAGGAATAGCTTGCAGCAATTCAGGGATAAAGTCTAATTTAAACTGAATAATTAAGGGATCGGTTTAAGCTTTCTTTCAAATGCCAAGAAAGTCTAAATGTTAAATACAGGAGACCATTGCATATTGGAAAATCCAAAATTTAAAAATGCAGATCTGGACGGCATGTTAGATATATTTAATTTTTCATAACTTCTTTTCTTATTTTGATCAGGAGTCAATTATCTAAATAAAAGCTGTTTTGTCCCTCAAAGGACTAGTCTCCTAAACAAAGGGTTATAAAATAATTCTTTATGATACATCTCCATTCCCACATGCCAAACATGAGATGATCTGATAAAGGTACCTCATTTTATCTGTGGGGTTTCAATCTGAGATTTCTTCTTGTGCTGTAATGAATGAATTTCATTTTTACACTGTCCTATGGATAAGGTTATCTGGACAGTTTACAAAGATGACAAAGTTCAAAAATACAATATTGTATATAATATAAAGCTATTTGCATAAATGTGTATGAACAGCACACTCACCCATCTGAATAATTTTGTCTGTGCAGAGTGAAAAATCCAGGAACCAGGTGATAAAACCTTATATGCCACTAAATGCATGAAGAATAGAAGGATGTCTTAACCTGATGCTGAAATAAGAGGAAGGCCTTGCTGTGGCTATCATTCTGTGACTGTGCCAGAAGCTGAGCACCCTGGGAAGCCCTTCTTTCTCATTACTTCTCAGTCTTCCTCAGAGGAGACCCATGGATGTGACTTAGATGACGAATGTGGTGCTGTTGTTCAATAAGACAATGATAAAAGTACCCAGGAAGGCAGTCCAGTCACCGGCATGCTTGGAGCACAAGACACAACAGGTTCACATGCCTTTGTTATCACTTATTTATTTACATTTATATGCTATCTTATCTTCCAAATACCCATCAAGGCTGTGTACACCAGTGTAAGAACAGAAACTACTTCAACATTAAGAACATGAAAAAAAACCTGTTAAAATATATTAATTGAAAGCCTAAATGAAAATGTTAATCTTTCCATCCCTTCTAAAGGCCAAGAAGTTGGACCAGCTGTGATTCCTAGTGGACTGCATTCCCTAGCTTGGGGCACCAGAGGAGAAGTCCATTCACACATGACTCACAGTGGGGCTCTGCAGCCACAGCGCCCTCAGAAGGGCCTCTCCAGCGGATCTTAACTCTTGGGCACGTTCATTATGAAACAGACCGTCAAGACCATTTAAGTCCCAGCCCAGAAGCAGTGGTGAACCTGGATCTGGAGCCTGAGGCTGAAGTGGAAGGCCCTGCAGCGCAAGGGGTTTGTTGTAACCCCCCTCATAATCAAAAACACAGCCAGGGCATGGCTCGTCACGAGTAAAAAGCATGGTCAGGGTGTCCTGTTCGCGTGAGAACAAGGACACGAACACGGATGTGCACTCTACGCAAGGCTGACAACAAAGCAGGCTACGCTCCAGCATTACCAGCATCACCGCAGACGTTACGCCCTTGTACCCTCGCTTGCTTGCTTTAACATGATAAATGTGCAAATGTGTTTTCCCCTATTGTCCCCCTATTGTTCCCCTATTGTTTGCTGTCATTCAAGCTTAAGTGTAGAAGAGTATAAAAACAATGTCTTCCCTCTGCTCGAGACCGCATTCTAACGAGTGTGGTCCCTGCAGGTAAATAAACTTCTTCTCTCGAAAATTCCAACCAGTCTCTGGTCTCATCCGTCACATCGCGGCATACAACAGGGTTGACATATATTCACACAGGCAATGGCAGATGATGGAGTCCAGCAACAGCACCTGGACCAAGGCTGTGGCTATTTGTTGTATTGTCCTTTCTTCTTGCTTGTGAGAACATTTTATGGTCAGGATGTGGCTGGCTGGGCACAGGCATGGTTACACATGCTCACACTCATGCATCCACATACGCACACACAATAGCATTAGAAATGTATTATCCTTTCTCGCAACAAATGGTGCTTATTTCTAAGAAAATGTGTTCCTTCTAATGGCAGCAGAAACAAAAAACAAACAAAAAAACATTATTCTTCCATATTTGTCTTTCCAAAAAAATGTGATACAGTTTTCATGTTGTCATAATGATGCTATGATTTGATTCAAAATGCAAAACTGTGTTGTCCCAGAATACTTTTTTTGTTCTTATCAGGGTTAGAAAACAATTCCCTCCTGCCCTCCATAACATATAAGTGTTATCAATTCAGTTCTAGAACTCTGAATGGTGGTTAGGGCAAGGGGAATAGAGAAATGTGCTTCACAGTTAAAGTCATACACATGATCATCTAACAGGCCCACCTCTAAGATGATTAAGCCCAGACTCTAAAATTGTTAAGCTGTACTACTATGTGGAAAAACAGAATCTGTGTGTAACTGCTTCAACCAGTCTTAAACAGCTGCTAGATCTTGGATTATTTGATCTTTCTGGTATGCCTGGAACTAGTCAAGACTCAGCTCATCAGACCTGTGCATGGGGAATGAGAACATCTGGAATACGCATAATAGTACTGTTTCTAATTTTATTTTCTAAAACCAACATAACAAATTTATTATGCCATTTTGAACAGCCTGATTATGGTCAACTCTTTCATTTCTTATTTTCTTGGTCCCTTTAGAACAGAAAAGGGCCCGCACTTTGAATGACAATGAGAATACGTACATCAACTTGCATTCCAATCTCATAGTGTTCAGAAATATACATTTCCCATGCATAGTTTTCATTTCCTTCCCTCTTTCCACTATAAAAATTAGTATGAGGGTTCAGTTGGTATGCAAATGCAGAGTTACATCTGTATGGTTCACAAAATTTCAGCCAGACAATGCAATGGTCAGGAGGACATAAATCTGCATCTGAATACTGGTTGAATCCATGCATCAATGCATTTGTGTGTTCAGTTTGCAACTGATAAATGGAATGCCAAATGGTACAACTAACTCCAATTTACTCAACTGGTAATTCATCATAACATGACATCTACCCAAAGGACTGGGACAACTAGCAGAGGGAAACATTTCAGTTAATTGTGCCCATTTCAGCCTCCCTTTGATGTGGACTCTGGGGTTTGCCAACACTTTGGGAAAATGTCCAGAGTGGTCTCTTTGATATATAATAAGCTGCAGCTTGACCTGCTGTGCAAACAAGCCATCTTGTGTGCATGCTGAGGAGCTCCTTGAAGAACAGCTGGACCATTATATAAATTTCAGTTTCTCTCACTTCCTCATTTTTCCAATATTAAATTTGTTTCAGACCATTCCTGCATCAATCTGCATTGTGTTTAAACAAGTTCTGATCAAGTACTGTATGCATTTTTGTATTTATTATTTATTATTTATTTATTAAAACATTTCTATGCTGCCCCATTCGCCGAAGCCTCGGGGCGGCTCACAACATAAAATATAATACAAAAATAGCAATATAAAACTAACAATATAAAATAAATAACAATATAAAAGAAGTCGCCCTGGCCAGATAAATAAGCAAATACTGTTAACAATTAAAATGACGCTTAAATAAAAAGGTCTTCGCCTGGCGCCATAAAACAAATAACGACGGCACCAGGCGAACCTCTCTGGGGAGCGCATTCCATAGATTGGGCGCCACCACTGAGAAAGCCCTCCTCCGAGTACCTACCCTCCTAATTTCTTTCATGGAGGGTTCCCGGAGAAGGGCCTCTCCCGCAGATCTCAAGGGGCAACCGGGCATATATGGATGTAAGCGCTCCTTCAGGTAACCAGGACCCAAGCCATTTAGGGCTTTATAGGTCATCACTAACACCTTGAATTGGGCCCGGACTTCAATGGGAAGCCAGTGAAGCTGACGGAGGACTGGAGTCATGTGAACATAACACCCAGTCCCCGTCAGCAGCCTGGCAGCTCTATTTTGAACCAATTGAAGTATCCAGACCGTCTTTAGCCCCATGTAAAGCACGTTACAGAAGTCCAGATGGGAAGTCACCAGTGCGTGTGTCACTGTCGTCAGGCAGTCGAACTCCAGGTAGGGGCGCAGCTGATGAATCAGCCGAAGCTGAAGGAAAGTGCTCCTCACCACCGCTGTCACCTGAGCTTCCAATGAAAGCTCCGGGTCGAGGAGCACTCCCAAGCTGCGGACCTTGTCCCTAGGAGGGAGTGCAACCCCATTCAGGACTAGGTCAAATCCACCCTCTCCGAAGCCCGATCCACCAACCAACAGGACCTCCATCTTGTCTGGATTGAGCTGCAGTTTATTGGCCCTCATCCAGCCCATTACCTCGGCCAGGCACCGGTTCAGCACAGCCACTGCCTCACCTGGATTGGTTGAAAACGAGAGGTAGAGCTGGGTATGATCAGCGTACTGATGATTCCGCAGCCCATACCTCCTGATGACCTCTCCCAGCGGTTTCATGTAGATGTTAAACAGCAAAGGGGACAAAATGGATCCCTGCGGAACTCCATGGCATAGCTGCCATGGTTTAGAGCCATAGTCCCCCAGCACCACCTTCTGGAATCGGCCATTGAGATAGGAGCAGAACCACTGCAAAGCAGTGCCTCCGACCCCCAATCCCGCTAGCCTATCCAGAAGGATACCATGGTCAATGGTATCGAAAGCTGCTGAGAGGTCCAGGAGAACCAACAGGGACGCACTCCCCCTGTCCTTCTCCCTGCACAGGTCATCGTACAGGGCGACCAAGGCAGATTCAGTACCATACCCGGGTCTGAAGCCGGACTGAAATGGGTCTAGATAATCAGTTTCATCCAAGAGTGCTTGGAGTTTTCCCGCCACCACCCGCTCTAACACCTTGCCCAGAAACGGGATGTTGGCCACTGGTCTATAGTTAGTGGCCATCTCTGGATCCAGTGACGCTTTCTTCAGGACCGGTTGGACTACCGCCTCCTTTAAAGGGGCAGGCACCCGACCCTCCCTCAGAGAAGCGTTAACCACTTCCAAGATCCAGGTCCCAATCCTGTGCTTGGAATTATTTATTAAACAAGACGGGCAAGGGTCCAATAGGCAAGTGGTGGGATGTACTCGTCCAAGCACGTTGTCCACATCATCGGGCCGCAATAACTGAAATTCATCCAATAATTCTGGACCAGACAGCAGCATTGGCGTCTCCCCAGAAACCTCTGATTCACTAGTGGTGTCCAGCTCGTGACGAATCTGAGCGATTTTCTCCCTGAAATGCCTGGCAAAGTCGTCACAGCGGGCCTTTGAGGGTGGAACCCGATCTTCCTTAGGACCCGGACGAACCAGGCCTTGCACCACTCAAAAAAGCTCCGCCGGATGGCATTGTGAGGAGGCAATGGAAGTGGGAAAAAACCTCTTTTTCGCCGCCCTGACCGCCACAGCATAGGCCCAATAGTGGGCTCTCAAGTGTGTTCAGTCAGATTCATCCCGTGATCTCCTCCACCTACACTCTAGCTGTCTCCCAACCTGCTTCATCGCCCACAATTCAGGTGTATACCAAGGGGAAGAGTGGGCTCTGCCTGGTGGGAGAGGACGCTTAGGAGCGATCATGTCCACAGCCCTGGTCATTTCCCCATTCCACAGTTCGACCAGAGCCTCGACAGGAGCACCAGTCTTGTCAGCCGGAAACTCCCCCAGGGCCTTCAGGAATCCTTCCGGATCCATCCGGCTCCGGGGGCGGGCCCATACAATCGGGTCCGCACCCTTGCAGAGGGAGAGGTCGCTCTCAAGCACAAACCTCACCAGGAAGTGATCTGACCATGACAGGGGAGTCAAGCATAAATTCCTCACCCTCAGACCACCCTCTTCCTGCCCCGTTGAGAAAACCAGGTCCAGAGTGTGTCCATGTTCATGGGTCGGGCCGGAGATATGTTGAGACAGCCCCATGGCCATCATGGAGGCTATGAAGTCCTGAGCCGCCCCGGTCAGACCAGACTCGGCATGGAGATTGAAGTCCCCCAGGACCAACATCCTGGGGGTCCTCAACACCAGGTCCGAGACAGTCTCCGTCAGCTCAGGCAGGGAGACTGTTGGGCAGAAGGGTGCACGGTACACCAACAGAATCCCCAGTCTGTCTCGGTCGCCCAACACCAAGTAGAGGCACTCCAGCCCTGGTCTCGAAGGGACCAGAAGTCCCGTGAGAGAGATGGAGGCTCAGTAGACCAAAGCAACCCCCCCTCCCCTCCCCTCCAGGTGTGAACAGTGCTGAACCAGATACCCGGGCAGGTACAGTTGAGAGAGGGTGACATCCCCCCCCCTCACCCAGGTCTCCGTTATGCAAGCCAGGATGGCCCCCTCATCCACAATCAAGTCATGGATGAGGGAAGATTTATTATTGACTGACCTGGCATT